GGGCTGTAACTGGGCTTGCACCAGTGTGGGGGATTTTTTTTTTTAAGCAGATGTGGAAAATATTGTCTGCCTCATGCTTATTCCCTTTTTTATGTATCTGTATGAATGGGAAACTGGCTTGGAATTAATACAGGTCTTTTTCTAAGGACCCTTAGAAGATTGTTTTCCTACTGATTTTCTACATACTTGATTCTGAGTGCCCTGACTTGAAGTGCTTCCCTCAGTTGTGGAAGGAGATCTCTGTTGCTGTATAAATTAAATCCTATTTTAGAATAGCTTTCATATTTTCTAAAGAGAAGTCATTTTTTAATTCAAGAGCATACATTGCTATATGCTTGCCCCATATAATTGTAGGGTGTATTAATCCTGATATGTAAGATCTCAGCTTCTGCTCAAGGTAGTGGCATAATCCTTAATATGAGATAAAGCCACTTTTATGCTTACGGTATTATTTCTCTAGAACCATTGTATCCAAAAGGAGATTCAAGTGGCTTGTCCCGACGGAGTTGGGAGCTCAGAACTTTAATCAGCCAGACCAAAGGTAGGTGTTCAAGAGTCACTATAATGTTATGTCTATTAAACTAGTGCTGTATTAAAACGTTAAAACTTAGTGCTGATTGTGAAGAGGTTTTCACAGTTCTGTACATAGGAAGGGGAAAAAATAAAATCCTGATTGCAGATAGAAGATACTGCTAATGAAATCACAAGGTGTACTCCCTCAGGTAGGAGTAATTAAACTTCATGAAACTTACATCTTTTCAGTTTCTGAAAGGTACTAGCAGTGTTCTGCAAAATGAGTTCATTTATTGAGTTGAGGTTGTTCAGCCTGGAGAAGAGAAGCCTCCGGAGAAACCTTATAGCAGCTGAAAGGGGGCTACAGGAGAGATGGGGAGGGACTCTTCATCAGGGAGTGGAGTGATGGGATGAGGGGTAACGGCTTTAAGCTGAAATAGGGTAGATCTAGTTTAGATATTAGGAAGAAATTTTTCACTGTGAGGGGGGTGAGGCACTGCAGCAGGTTGCCCAGAGAAGCTGTGGATGCTCCATCCCTGGAGGGGTTCAAGGCCAGGCTGGATGAGGCTTTGAGCAACCTGGGCTAGTGGGAGGTGTCCCTGCCCATGGCAGGGGGTTGGAACTAGATGATCTTTAAGGTCCCTTCCAACCCAAACCATTCTGTGATTGCTATCGGAATTGCAGAAGTTTGCTGTCCCTATTCAGTGCCCAATTACGAATTTCACTGACAGTAGGAAGCACTTCCTCACTTCCTTAGGTCTCTTCCCAGCATGGAATTTTCTTATTTTGGGTGTCTAACCATGTGTGGTCCGACACTGTTTCCCAAATTTAAGGCTATTATGGGTTCCCTTCCTCTCTGTCCTGCTGCTTATCTACGTGAAACTTAAAGTAACTTGATTAGTTCTGAGACTTCTGTACTGGACAGATAAAAGCTTGCTTACATGTATTCTGATAGGGTGGGACCTCATGAAACATTAGAAAAAAGTTTTCTGTCACATAAAAATTGGTCTCATTTGTGGCTCAGACAGAACACAGGAAGAACAGCAATTTTTATTTTTTTTCTGAAAGAAGGCTTATTTTTTCTTTGAAACATAAACACTGAAGGAATTGAGTTTGTTTAAACTAGAAAAGAAGAATGAAAGAAAACTTGAAAATTTATAGATGACTACTGCAATGGGAACTAGTTTTACTCTCTGCTGTGAATAAGACATATTTTGGTTTAAAACTACAGTGAAGCAGATTTAGTGTAGATGAGGTGGTATTAATTATAGGTGGGCAGTGGAATATATCATTTGGGAGTATCAGTATCTCATCTTTTGGAGGTTGTTAGATACAGGTTGGACTTACCTGTCAACAGTGACAGATGTGTAATTTTTGCGCTTTACAAGGAGGGGATAAATTAATGCTGCCTTGAGATTTCTTCTCTCACTCACTAGGACTCTGTTTCACAACAAGACTTGAAAGCTAGAGTTATCCAATATCTCTAATAAATCTTTGAAATAACAGATGCTATGAGTTTTCTAAGAAACCTCTTGTATGTCGATAGAGCAAAATGTTACCTGTCCTTCTTTCCTTGGTGCTTTTAACAACCCTAACATATTTCCGCTATCTGTCAGTCGTTAGTGACAGGCCAAATGTAAACAAGTGCATTGGATTTCATGCATTTAATTTCTTTGAATCATGTAAGAGATGATTACAAAAGTACCAGTATTCTCATTTTATTGTAGTTTCATATGTGATTCGTAAGTGATAGTTTCATATGTGATTGCTAAGATGTTTTATTCTTTTCCTACTTCTTAAATTAGACTCACAAAATAGTTATCTTCGAACTCGGGTCCCTTCACATGATGTCAAAAGGTAGCAAAGTACAAGCACAGCAAATATTTCTCAATCAAGGAAATTGTTTGTCACTCTTTTCAGATACTGCTTCCAAGCAAGCACCAATTGAAGCTGTCCAAAAGTCTGTTCAGTTGTTTGAAGAAAGGAGATACAGAGAGATGAGGAGGAAGAACATCATTGGCCAAGTTTGTGACACACCGAAATCTTACGACAATGTCATGCATGTAGGTTTGAGAAAAGTGACCTTCAAGTGGCAGAGAGGAAACAAAATTGGTACGTTCATTACACCTTCGTTTATCAGGCTAAAATACCAAGCTTAGTATTTCTGAAGGAACTCAGTCTATCTTTTGAAATGTTGTGTCTCCATGTAGGTAATAGCAGCTGTACTGAAATCTGAATGTTAAAATACAAAATACTCTTGCAGCTAGGGCTTATTTTATGTAGAACTTCAGTGAAGTTTTCACTGGTCAAATAACAAGAAACAGAGGAGAAGGATTTGGTTAGGGCAATTTCTTAGGTATGATCCTGCAATTCCCGCATGTGTTTAACCCTGTAAAATGTTTGAGTTCTGCTTTTGCAAGAACCAGAAATAGGAATGGAAATGAGCACAAGATTTGGGATATTTTTAATTCACTGATATTGTTGTTGTTTCCTCTGTATGATCATTGTTTCCTCTCTGGTTTGGGGTTAGTGGAGAAAATCCATAGATTCATGAGAAGTTTTCTTTCAGGTCAACCTGTTAATGTAATGTTTATACTTTTAATCAGCTGGAATTCAGGACTATGAATGTGGTATTAGTGTTACAGGTTAAAAGCTACTTGAAACTGTAAATGCAAATAAAAGTAAATAACCTTGGCAAGCTCAGTTTTCAGTGATATTTTCTTATTGCAGTTGATGTACGTGTTGCTTATTGAATGGAGTGTAATCAGTTTTTCTTATTTTTATTTTAATTCTGCAGGTGAAGGCCAGTATGGGAAGGTCTATACCTGTATCAGTGTTGACACTGGAGAGTTGATGGCTATGAAGGAAGTGAGTACTCTCTATACCAGAATCACTGCTGCCTTTCTTGTTTTTCCAAACCAAATGTGAGTGACTGAGCAGGCATTAATGATGTCTGTACGTTATTGTTAGATAACTGGGAAAGGATGGGAAGACAAATTGTTTCTTCATGGAGCCATACCTGCTGTTATCACTTGTTCCTCCTTAAGTTGCTGAAGCTTTTTCTTTTCAGTTTACAACTTTCAATTTAAATATATATAAAATGGATGATGATTTTTTACTGATCTCATAGGGATGTTGTGAACTTAATGAATGCTTGCTTAATATGTGTGAACTCCCATTAAGAGATCTGAAATAATTTTGGAAAGAATTTCCTGATTGGTGCAGACTGTACACAAACTTATATTTTACTTTGCAGGATTTCATCTCGCATTTTATTCCTTTTTCCTTTGTTCCTTATGGAAAAAGATAGGAAGTGTCACATCAGATGTTTTTCAACTTCTCTAGTAGTTTAAGTGGGTGAGGTCGAGTATAAAACTGTTGACTAACGTGGTGGATGCAGAAAATTTAAGTTTCATGGTAGAAGTATTGTACTTGTTCTGTGCCACACCTCTTCCTTGCATCTGCCTCATTCTTAATGAAGAAACTCCTCAAAGAAATCCCTTAGAATCTCCGTTGATGAAAGTCCCTGGCAATTAGTCTTTCTTGAATGATAGCTTTCACTGATGTTACTTTCCGATTCTCTTGTACTGTGTCTATTACCGCGTTTAAGCTACAAGGCAAGCTCCAAAGAGAGATATATATGGACAATTGTATCATTGTAATGTATTTTTCAAAAAATAGTTTGGTGTTCTTTTTTGTTTCAGTTTGGGGATGGAGGGGGTGGTATTTTGGGGCTTTTTGCGTGAAGATGCTGTTTTTAAAAAAAGAAAAAAGCTTTTTAGGTGTTTTCTTAGTTTGGATTTAGGATTGGTTGTTTGTTTTGGGTTTTTTGTTTTTTAGTAATGTAAAATAGTGTCAAAGTAATGAAAAATCTTTCTTGTAGATAAGATTTCAGCCTAATGATCACAAGACCATCAAAGAAACAGCTGATGAACTGAAGATTTTTGAAGGCATCAAACACCCTAATCTTGTTCGTTATTTTGGTGTGGAGCTCCATAGGGTAAGAAAACATAAATTATTGGGGCTTTTTTATAGGGCAGAGAGAAAATTTTAAGACACTTTGGATCATTAGAGGTTTATCTTGAGCCTAATTGTCTGGCTATCTGTGTGAATTGCAGTGTTTCTTTTTTCCTCTGAGTGTTGAGGTCTCTGAAATGTAGTTTTGATGAATTTTTTGGAACTGGTGCATGAAGAGAGAAGGCTCTCACCAAGTGAGTAGAGCAAGTAATGCTGGAGCTGTTCTATGCTGCTGCTCTGTTTAACTGCTCTAAAAGCAAGCTATATCATGCATGGTATAGTAACTTTTGCGTGTATATATTATGACTAGATACCCTAAAACCCTTTTTACTGTTAGCAGCAAAGGTTGTACCAATATCTTCTGATTCCTTGAAAAATTTTGTGCTGGTGTTTAAATCTTGATGCCAGACAAGTATCTAAAGGAAGCAGATCTTTGGGAATTCAGGTAGCATCTCTTCAGAAGGAAAACAGAGTTTTCTTCCTTGAGCAGCAGAATGAGTGAAGCCTGGTTTTCTCATGGAGCTGGATTCCAGAGTTGTGTGTTGAGATATCTTACTTTTTATTACTCTCTGCTTCCCACATGCCCTTCCCACCTCCTCCTCCAAGTCCCGAGTCCCTGTATCTCTGCCCAGTGAGGTGGGCAGAGAGCAGGATGTCTGGTCTCTGGCTGGAAAGTGGTGTGTGGCTTTGACTGATGTGCTCAGGATGAATGGGTTGATTTGCTGATGCACTGCTGGTTTAGAAGGGGACAAAAGGCTGCTTTCTGTCTGCATTTCTTTACTTGGGGACACAACTTTGAGTGTCTGTGCCACTGGGTCATTGGTTTCTCAGGCTGCTTCTGAGAGCTTAGTGTCTTTGCCATCTTTTGTATGAATTAAATCTGGCTGGAATTGGCTGGGCTTGGCGAGAGAGAGAAAGGGAACAAGAACCTAACTTTTCCTTAAAGTGAGTTAGTTGGCATGCTTGTTCAAACCACAGACAACAACAAAAAGCTTGCCCTCCCCAAGTAATCAACACTTGATATTGCAGGAACTGGAAGAGAGAGGAAAAACACTAAAAACCAAAACAAGCCCAAAACATCATTTTACCTTTTTTTTTTTAAATATGCAAAGGATCTTTTTGTATTTCTGTGTAACATACCTATAAGATATCCTAAGTGCTTTTTGGTTGATGCCAAAGTAATGTATATTATACCACCGAATAGTAGAAATAGTTACATACAGATCATGCAGGTAAACATGCAGCACATATTTTCTGTAGCTGTTCAATAGAATGTATTAGGTTGAAGAATGCCCGAGACAATAGACTTCTGAAGAGGTGATTTATTAGATATACCATGGTACTTCTGTTAAAACATTACACAGTACTTCCACTATTCTTTTCACAAACAATGAAGGATGGAAGGAAAACTAGATCCTAATTCAGTTTAAAAAAAAAAAAGAAAAAAAAGAAAAAAAAATGAAAACCAATCAAATCCGGTTTGGTTCCCACAACAGGAAGAAATGTACATCTTCATGGAGTACTGTGATGAGGGCACTCTGGAGGAGGTATCAAAACTGGGCCTTCAGGAGCATGTCATTAGGCTCTACTCAAAGCAAATCACGATTGCTATCAATGTACTACATGAACATGGTATTGTTCATCGAGACATTAAAGGTAATGTTAACCAAAAAAGGTAATGTTGTTTCAGTGTTGTAGATGAGGGTGGCGGGGAGGGATGTGGGACATATTTGCAGATTTAGCACACATTATCTATACAGCCATAAGCCTTCCACTCATCCTTCAGTTTTCAGTTTACAAGTTATTGGCTAGTTACATGCTCCTTTTTAAGTGCAAAACAAAAAATGTTCACAGTTGGCATTGCAAACTCATAAATTCCACCCATGATTCATATAGTTTCTGTAGAGGTTGTTAAGATTGTTGGACATCCATCCAAACTCAAATTCGTATTTGAGTCCTTGTATTTTTAGTACTAACATACTGAGTTATATGATGCTGTTTTTCTTCTCATCTATGCAAGAAACAGTGGTGCTTTCTTGGAGCTGAAAAACGGTGTACAGTGCTAGAGTTGTTCATCAGAACTTTTCCCTTGTGATTCCCATTTTCCAGGAGAGTTTTAGGATTTCAGACAAATGGTTGATTAAATGTAGTAATAAAAGCCTCATTAAAAGAAGTTAAAGGGATATGGTAAAATTACTTATCTAGTGGGTTTTTTTGCCATACATCTATCTGCTCATGCCTGGCTCTCAGCATTTGTTTACAAAATGAGCAGACAGAACTACCATGTTCAATGGGGGTTGGTTTTGGCATTTGCTTAATGCACTCAGTGTCAGTCTGCATTTCACATTCATTTTTCTTTTCCTGCGCCTTCCAAGAACATCCTCCATGTCGAATTATCTTGTTTTTGTTAGTCTGGCACATTTTGCTCACCTACGGCAGAAACTTAGCAGAAGGTAGGGGAAACGGTGCACACAATATGCCCTGCGAATGCTCATTTATGACAAGGCAGTGCAACCCAACGATGCTGGGTTTCTATGTCCCTCTTGCTCACAGGGTTTTGAATCACCGCAGCAGTGTAGGAGGTTCCCAGTTGCTCTTGGTCCTTTGGCCTCGTGCTTCTCATTTGGGAAAAGAACTATCTACGATCCAGAGGCCTCCCGTGCAGGTAGGCCACTCTTGAGTCAGTTTTGGCTTTCATTTCCTAAAAAACACTTTCCTTTACTCCCATTCCCCAGCAGTCTTGCCTTTTCTGGTTCTCCTTCCTGACCAAAGGTTTCTCTCCAGTTGTGGATTTCCCTCCGTGCTTTTCACAGTGTCCTCCTTGCCCTGTACTTGATCATTCCATATCCAGGTTCTGCTTAGTTGGATTACACTCTCCTAGAAGCTTGTTGTGATCAAAATCCAACACTGGCTGACAGGGATTTCTTTTGTGTGACTCTGTCATTTGCTGATTTCTGGATATGTTTCCAAATAGGTCTTCCTCTCATCGGTGAAATGCAGCGAAGTGTGAAGAGCTTTTTAACAGAACTGTAACGCTATGTTATCTGAGGGCTTTTCTCTTGCAACAGGTTCCTCATGCCAAATGCTGGGGTGTTCCTTGAGCAGAACAGCAGCTATGAACAAAGGGTCACTGCAGACACATCTATATCTAGACCTTCCTTAAAATTAATGGCAGAATGTGAAGACAGGCCACAGAGGGTATATTTCTAAAGGATGCCTGATGTTACATTGGAAGTCTCTTGCACTCTGTCTCCTTTTATGCTAACATTGCATCCCCATGTTTTCAGGCTAACAGCAGTAAAGAAAACTCTGGTTTTACTTTTAGCTCTTATGTAGTCAGGTATTTTTCTGATAGGGAAGGATGATAATACGTCATTCAGACTGTTAAACCTGCTTTCCTATTAAAATCTCGCTGTTAGATCACAGATCTCTCATAGCCAGTTTGCTAAACATCACAGCGGATCTGTTTCTTTCAGCAGCAGAGAGACAATTCTTAATTGTTTATATATATCCCCCAGTTGGTGTCTGCAAGTACCCTGTGCTCAAAAATTGAGTCTTTTGGTTAGTAGTGTCCACTTGTGCAACCGTTGCCTTTCAGATGCGAACCTCTGGACATCTTCGGTTGAGCCCTCTGTTCAAAGGAGGGCCAGCCTCGGTATCAGATCCAAGGTCAGATTAGATCATGTTGCTCGGGACCTTGTTTAGTTGAGATGCTCATACCTCCAGGGGTGGATATTCCCTTTTCTCTGGGCTTTGTCCCTCCAATGACTGACCTATCCCCTTTGTGAAAAACTTTTTCCTGATACCTCCCTGGAATTTGCAGAGGTTGCTATTTTTGTCCATTTCCCTGTATCTTTTCACAGTGTGCCTTTGAGGAAAAACTCTGTTTCCATCTTCTTGATATCCTCCCATTGCACAGCCGGAAACAGCAATAAATTACACACACACACACGCACTCTCCCGAGTCCTCCCTTCTCCAAGCTAAACAAACCCATCTCTCAGCCTCTCCTTTTACATGGTGTGCACCAGCCCTCTGACCATCATGACACACCCCTCTGCTGGGTTTGCTCCAGTGCGTCAATGTCTGCCTTGTACTAGGGAGCCCAAAAACAAGAGACAGTGCTCCCAAGTGTGGTGTCGCAAGTGCTGAACTGACAAGAGTTAGTCGCTGAGGTCATGCCTGGTGCTTTCTCTCTGGGAGAGAAGGACATATTCTTGCAGACCGCTTGGACTGGATTTTCAGAATAAATTCAGAAAATGAAGGGATTGTATCTGAAACTTCAGTAAATCAGAAACCTGCGAAGGAGATGCTGCAGGACAGGAAGTCTTCATCACAGTGTTATTGTCCTCAAAGTGTTAACTTTGTTGCTAACTCAAAATTTCTGCCATTCCTGCCTTGATGTTTTCATGACGAGCACAAGGGAGGGAAGGCTGTTCAACAGGAGACTATGGGCATGTGTCACGCTTTCTGAGAGACTGAGAGGATGCTGAAGCTGAAGCTGGCTTTCTCATCAGAGGGTAGCATTTGGCCTGTTTCTTGAACAAATTTGGCTGCTGCACTCCCTAAGTACTGGCTGAGGAACATCTATGAGCTTCCCCTCTTTGTGGAATTATGCCACAGTCTTTCCTGGGGCTTTTGGTATTGCTCCACAGACTCACAGTATTTACACCAGCACCTCTGGAATATCATACTAGTGCTGTTTTCACAGCTCTTCATATGAGGCTGACTTGGCACAAAGATACAGGGCATGAAACTGCAGGGTAAATGCTTTGGGTCACAGCTATTGCTTTCTCTAGCAAGGGTCCAGCTTTTGACATTTGCTTTTTGCAGTCTGCCCAGAAGGTCTTGTGGTACAAATGGCAGTAGGGCTGTGCAGAACCGGGCTACTGCTTGCCTCTGCCAAGTACATCCACCGAAGATGCTTTGGGGAGTGTGTATGTAGGAGGAGAGAAGGAATGGAGGGGTGTGTTGTGCCTTTTTGCTGTTTTAGCCATGGCCTCTGGTTTTATTTTGCTTATTAACTGTGCAGATGTGGTAGGAATTTTGTTACATTGCCAGTCACGTTAACTGTTAAAGGGAGTAAAAAGGATCAATCATCCTCAATCATGCACATTGCCCTTGTGTCTCCTGTTCTCTTACCAGGTTGTGCTGGATTCTGTGCAGGTTTCATCTAACAAGATGACCTTTTCTTAAAGATTCCTTCTAGAGCTTTGTCTTCTTCTCCAAAACACAGTTTCACAGTAACTTTTATGCTAAATTGTTGTTTTGGTTTTTTTAAAGGGACAAAGTTTGGTTTGAAAGGCCTTGTAAGCAGGTTCTGTACTTTATTAAACAAAATTATCACAATAGCTTTGGACTGAGTCCGATGAGATATCGTTGCACGTCAGCTCTGCCAGTGTCCACCCCCTGTCGTAGTCAGAAACCATTTTGTAACCGTCTGTGAAATTTGCATGTTGCTTTCTTGAGGAACAGCACCATGGGTTTCCAAAACATCTTTGTAAAAGTGTTTACCACTGATGGCTGTTTTTCCTGAGCTCTTTGTGTGTGCTATGTGCACCTACTTTCTATATGACAAGTAATTGTTTTAAAATTGTTAGAGAAAGAAAAGCCATGGGCAGCAGTTCAAAGGAAGAAGTTGCAGATAGAGTAACTGTCACTTTTCTAAGCACTGCCCATACTGGGTGTCCCATTGAGCTGCCTTCCTGTACTGCTTTGGTGTGTTTCTGGATTCTCTTTTATTCAAGGAGCTGAGGGATGGTCTATCCAGCTCCACTACACGTGCCTGTGATTGCAGGGTGACTCAGGACACGTATGTCCCTCTGATGGCAAACTGCAGAACCCAGCCAAAGATTTCTGATCTTGAGTATGTGCAGGCACCTGACTGCCAGGAGTGGAAAACTTACAGACACCATGTGCAGAAGAGTTGTATTCACCAAAAGTTAGTTCTTCTTTCAGAACTTGTAAAAGGCTTACAGTAATTAAGAGTTGGAATTTTCTTCTGTTAATGAATTTTCTCCCCCTTTTATAGTGCAACACCTCTTGGACTAAATAACTCTTGCTTTAGTTATCAAGCATTCTCCTAGTAGTTAGAGAAGCCCTTTGAGAAATGGGCAGGCTTTTGTCATCATTGACCTACACTGCCCTTTTTTGACTTGAGTTTTTTGAGGATTCTTTTTATTTTCCATTAATATCTTGGGGATGCCCAGCCAAGCTAACTAGAAAAAGTCATTAACTAAGAGAACACAACACACAGGAGGAACAGCCAAGAATTCCTGCACTGACCGATGTTCAAGGTGAAACAAAAGGGAGAAACTTTTGAAGGTTGTATTCGAGCCATTTTTTGAAAGAATCTTCTGTGTGACATGGGAAGAGGCTGTGTAATATAGCCCCTGGCATTTGCCCGCTCCTAGAGTAGACATACAGTTTTGTTCTGTGCAAAGCATTCATCTTTCCTCATGAGAGATCACAGCTCAAGCTGTATTTCTGCCAGGTGACTGTTGCAACCTCTTTGTGGTTTCACTGCGATGCTTGCAGAATCCAGGATTTGTCTGGATGTGGATAGTGAGCTCCTTCTGCTCTGTTTTCTCTTGGCTGTCAACATGTGCTTTGGCAGGATGTTGAACAAAAGAAAACCACCAGTTATCAAAACCACGTGGCTTATTTTGCAGTGTTGTGTAGAGCAAGTGACTTGTAGCCCACTGCAGCTTCCCCTTGGAGATTTCCAACTATGTTAGGGAAACTTTCTCTAGTGTAAGCTGGCAGTGCAGCCAGCTAATGATAACCATAGCCCTCCTCCAGAAATTCTGGAAGCACAGCACAACAGGAGTGGCCATTTGTAGTATGTGTAATAAAACACTCCATTCTGCAAGTCAGCTGTGACGACAGCTGTACGATACCATCTGTCTTGACTCAGCAGAACTGAAAAGGTGGCTTGTGGGAGGTACACAGCCATGGCATCTGGCAGGAAGCTCCTTAAGGACAGGTGTGTTTTTGCAGTGCTCACAAGGGTAAGCACTGGAATTCATCAATTCCTGGAGGAGTATTTTCTCATAATGAACATGTATAGAAAGCTGATGAGTTTGCCTGCTCTACTGCTTTGTGTTTTGAACAATTCTTGCTAGCAACTTCCAGTACACTCAGTGTTAACACAAACCCACCAAAAAACTCCCTGGCTAATGGTAATGTACCCTTTGGGGAACATCTCTAGTGCTGTCATACTCCACACTTAATCACCAGGTAAAGATTTAAGTGAGAATTCAGCTATTACCTACCATGTAACTTCCAAGAGTCTATCGAGAAGCCCTCATTCCTCAATTCGGCACTAGTTTAACCAATGTTACTGGTTTTTTTGTTGTGTTTCCTAGGAGCCAACATCTTTCTTACCTCATCAGGACTGATTAAACTAGGAGACTTTGGCTGCTCAGTGAAACTGAAGAACAACACCCAGACAATGCCTGGAGAAGTGAACAGTACTTTGGGGACTGCAGGTAAGGCAGCATGTGATAGGCAGATACTTGTCTAGTTACCATAAAATAACATACCTCTGCCAAAAGTCTTGGCTGGAGTAAAATTCTGTTTTTCAGGGAAACTGGATTGTACCTTAGCTAGCCAGATGTGCTTTACATCCGGAAGCCAAAACAATCAGTGAATAACTGGAAAGATAAAATTGTATTTGTCTGGTAACTATAAAGATGCTGGAGCTTGTGTTTTCTGGGGTTGTATCTTTCTCTGCAGCTTACTGAAAGGCACTGTTTTTACTGAGCAGCTGCTTAACCTATTTTTTAAAAATGAAAAGAACTGCAAGCATGTACTGTCCCAGCATTTTCAGTCTCACTTTCAAACTGAAAGACAGTTATGCTGCAAACATATCAGAGAACAAGAAGCCAGCAAATGACAAAACTTAGCAAGAAAAGCTGAGTGGTAATTCATTACAGATGTATTAAAAAGCATTTGTTACAACCAGCTAATCACTTAATGTATGCTGTTGCTTCTGCTGTATGACCTGATGCCATCATTTGTGTTGTTTCAAAGCGTACATGGCTCCAGAAGTAATTACCAGAGCGAAAGGAGAAGGGCACGGACGTGCAGCAGACATCTGGAGCCTGGGCTGCGTTGTTATAGAGATGGTCACTGGCAAGGTAGGGAAGTTTCATGTGCTGAACGAGTGCAAACTGTTCTTAGCCGTTTCTCTGCAAATTCTGGTCCCACTCCCAGAAACGTGTCACACTTAGGTCTGAAAGTACTGGGGTGGGGGTTTTTTTTGTTTTTTTCGGTTTTTTTATATGCTCTATTGGATAGCAAGTTACTTGCTAAACCTTGCACTTGGTAATGTTGTTTCTTGTTACAGAGGCCTTGGCACGAATACGAGCACAACTTCCAGATCATGTATAAAGTGGGGATGGGTCACAAGCCTCCTATTCCTGACAAGGTGAGCCCAGAAGGGAAAGACTTCCTTTGCCACTGCCTGGAAAGTGACCCAAAGATGAGGTGGACAGCCAGCCAGCTCCTGGATCATCCTTTTGTCAAGGTTTGTCTCATGGCTTTGGCTACAAAGATGGTAATCAGAAACAGCTTTTAGTCGGCTTCATCATTTGCAGCTGTGCTGCAGGGGCTTTGTGTCACGGTGGGAGGCCGATATCAAGTTGATACTGTCCAGAAAACAAGGTTTGGCAACTTTTTGGAAGCGCTTATGATTTTGCTAGCAAACATTTGACTAAAAGAACCTGATGTGCACGATGCAATACACTTTCACAGCTGTTTTGAGATGCATTATCTTTATATGAAAGACTTGTCAAACTTCAACTCAGTGGCAGGGAATTGAATCTGAAGGGCTGTGTGCCTAAAACTTCAGTGAGCGCATATGTGTATCTGGCAGTATATAACAGTCTGCAGTTCTTGCATGAACTTGGTTTTAATTCTTTGCTTAAGAATAGGCAAATATTCACAGCTACAAATCTAGGTGTATTAGTAACTTTTTTTTTTAAGAAGTAGGAGCACAGTAGGTTATTTGTCCCAGTTTCCAGCATAAACTTGTTGACTTTGGTATTCTGGTTCAATAACAATGTGTTTGGGAACATCATACCCATTCCTCTCATCAGTGCAACCCTTGCCAGATCCCATCCGTCACAGAGGCAGAATGCTGCTTCATGCATAGAAGAGTTGCCTGGTGACAGTGGAAGCATAAGTATTCATATATCAATGGTTGCAATTCATTAGCTGTATAAAGAAAAAAGCTTGATGTTCAGTGAAGGTGTGAAATAAATTGATCTCGTCATCTTGCTGCAGTAGGGAGACAATTGAATTAATTGCTGTTTGTCCCCTTCACAGGTTTGCACAGATGAAGAATGAAGTTATTCAATCTCTGGCCTTTATTCTGACAAGATATCTTTTAATCACTACTGTATGTAATATTTACATAAAGACTGTGCTGAGAAACAGTATAAAAGTTGAACTTTCGAAGACTGCACAAGTGACGAGCGTCACTTTCTCTGCTGCTCCTGTATGTTTTACTTGGCACGTGTTGCTCACGTGACAGTGTCCGCAAGGTGGAAAAAGCTGCATGTTTCCGTGAAAGTGCCATTACTACTGTATATGGACCATGCCTTTTTTTGTTCTTTCTCCTGTTTCTCATTTGATTGAGAACTGTAATGTTAATATGTAGTATTTTTGAACTCTTTAGGTTCAGAAAAATGCTGTAGTGTTATCAGGCGTTATGGACCTTGTTTTTTTAATCTGTTTGTTGAGTGCACTGACTGTGAACTTTTACTGGTTTTTGTTTATTTGTTTTTGTCAAGCTTCAGATTTGTTATGCACAAGGCTGATTAATGAACTTTTAAAAATGTTTTTTCTCAATAAATGGTTTATTTTAGGAGTTGTTGGTGAAGGGTTTTTCTTCTGAAAGTAAGTATGTGGGGTTGTATCACATTTTTTAAACTTTTCTTCCAACGTTTGTTTAAGACTGCTAAGCTAACCTATCTGGATTAAGCTTCTCTTAGACTGCAGTAGTCAATGTTTTGTTAAATTCAAGCTGGGTAAAAGGCATCTTACACTGCACAAGTGATAACAGAATTAAGTTCCCCTCCTGAGGAAACAAGGTGAGGTGTAATCCCTTATGCTACCTATTATATAAGGAATAGAGTCACGGTCTGAAATAACTTTCCGCTTGAATGAGTACTGCAAACAGGGAATGGTCTGTATGGCTTTTCTGTGGCCAAGACAAGAATCAGTTAAGATTATTTTTGTATTCTGTTTGTCAAAACCAAGCACTTACTGTTAGCTTTTTAAAACTGATTTCTGGCCTCACTGTGAGTCACCAGTGCAGTGGATCTAGGCTCTCAAAAAAGACAGTGCTGAATTTAACCAAAGCCTTTCCCTTCTCTTCAGGTCAGTTATGATAGGAGGGGAGGTACATGGTCATCCTTGTCAACAGGCTATGCAAGTACCGGGGATGCAAGTCCCTCGCCCACACGGCAGTGTGAAGCACGCAGCAGGCTCTCAGATGTGTCCGAGCAGTTTGTGTCCTCACTGGCCGTGTTTTGGGTGCCCTTGTACACAAACAGGAACTGCAGCCAGCTTTTTAGGAATCAGGATAAAGGTGAAAAGTTAACCGTTACTGGTTCAGTGCTGCTGACCAAAAGAAAACTCATTCACTGTGCATCAGCTTTTTTATACTTTTATTTTTGTACAAACAAACATAAAGACTACGTTTGTTAAGGCAGTTGTAGAACATACAGTTGCTTGTGGGGAGGAGGGGCAAACACTGCTTCCCAGTGACATGTCATTCTTTCAGTACTGTGACCTGGACCAGTTTAACTTGGGCAAGTACCATTTGGCTTTCTCAGTTTGCCAGTGAACACTGGAGGGGTCTAGTGGGGCAGTCCTCGGGCACCGGGGCTTCGAGAGGTGCTGAGGAGGATGGATCCAGGTGTGGCGTGTTTGGCCCTCAGCCTGTTCTAAGGGTTGGGCGCAGGGAAATGGGTATGAAATAGTCTAAATTCTCTTTTGGAAGTATTTACATGTTTGGTATTTTCCTCTGGAAGAGGTGGCACCGCATGCAGGGGGAGAGTAAAGGAGTAAGATTCATAAGGAATATTAAATGGCTCCTGACCAGCATGTTCCATAAGTGGCTCTTTAAAAGGCAAAAGAGATGGTGTCTGTCACTACATGAACGTGGAGCTGCAGCTCAGAACTACTCACCCTGGCATATGGGGTTCATTCTACGACCCTGAGAAAAGCCCATGGTACCAACCAGGTCAGGGTTACAGTGGCTACACAGTTTCTAAGTCTTGTGGACAGTGTCTTCAGGCCTGGCTCACTACCCGCCCTGATGCATTACTACAGGATAGATGAACCTTCAGCTGCTACTACAGGTTATAATACTCAGGTTGCCACTGTTAAGATTGTTTTGGCAAACAGTGCAGGGCAGGTGCTTTAAGAGCACAGCTTTATAAGCACAGCAGCATTCTCTCATCTCAGTGTTGAACAAGTACATGCAAGCCCATGGTTACCTTCATGTCATCATACAGCCTATGCCAGAAAGCTCCAGAGCATAGGGAATGCATGTGTACACAAGACAAGTGGGGAAAAAAAGCCCCCAAAATTAGTCCCTCATACTTCCCAAGGTCTGGTCTTTCCTTCACATTCTACATTTTACTGCATCCACTCTCCAGAAATTTTACTGACTGCCCCATCCTAAAAGCACTACTCTACCTGCTCTTAGATGCTGCCTATTAAAAAGAAAGACGAGTTGCTAGATGATCTGATGTACTGAACAGCAAATCTGTATTTCATGGAATGATTCACACTGGGTTGTATTAGCCTGTTTCTTCTGGCCTCAGTTTTATTATTGGAAAAGACAAATGTTTTTTTATACCAGCTGCTGGACCCAAGACTGCTCTCTTTCTTGTCTGGAGACACACAGGCTGCTCATTCCTAGACTAACATGGTTCAGTCCCATGTGCAGTAAAAATGTACCATCATTGAACGTGCCAATCATACTCACCTCTGTTCAGTGTCAGTATCTTTAGATTTTAAAAGTTGGGTTTTTTTCAATCATAATTGCTGGTAGGGGGACATCCCCTCTTTTTCTTTTTTCAAACTAGGTCTTTTTAGTAACTTGCTTATCCTTAACACTTGAAGTTAGAAAAGAGGGGGAGGATGCCCTGGAATCAGTACCAGGGATGTCAGAGCAACGCAGTTTTCCCAAGGGGCTTGATTCTAGTTTTATTTAATTCAGAAGGGTGTCAAAGCAACTCCAGCCATCTCTAAGAAAATGACATCTCTAGAAATCTCTAAGCCATACCACTGTCCTAGGTCTCTCTCCTACTTCCCCTCACCTCCCCAAAAGAAAAGCAAAACATAATTTAAGTATTAACCCCAGTCTGACTGTTATGAGGCACCATGTAAACTAATTTATCAGAAACAGACAAGCAGATTAATTGGGATTGCACCAGTATGGGTGTGGGGCATAACCTTTAATGCACGCGTAGTTACAGCATACCCCCTTGTTTTGTTTCCACCACTGTGAGGAAGGCCTAGAATTTTAATCAGTGTTTAAAGCTTAAAGGAATTTATTACCTCAGTTTTTCCAAACTATAAATGGAATTTACTCTCAAAAGTATTACAGGTTTCAGCTATTCCTCTGATGTATTGCCTGGGGAAAGAGGTGGCAGTGGGTAACTTGGCTCTGCTCCGGCCCCAAGGCCAAATTCCATCCAGGTTATGCCACTGCAAGGCTCCCATCTAACCAAGTGGGCCCTTAGCCGGGGTCCAGCTGAAGTTTTAAAGGACTGGTGTGGTGCACGCTGTGGGAATAAGTGCTAGATGTAGAAAAACTCCACTGCACTTCTGCCAGGTCAGTAGAGCTGCTTCAGTCCAATACTGGTATAACCAAGCACAGCATCTTACTGTATTTAAACACTGACATAGTATGGTTGTTAAACTGTTAACGTGTCATCTACACAGCTATCAATTTTCATCATCTTGTAACGATCTTCTGACGTTTATCCATTCCTTAGAGCAAATTAAGGAAGATAAAGCCTACACCTCTGGTTAGTTTCCAGGTAGAGTCTCATCATACAAGAACACTGGAATGATTTTTTTTTTTTTTTTCTTCAAAACTTAAGACACTTTATAGGAAAACAAACCAACCAAACAAATGCAAACCTGTTGTGGAGAGTGTATGAAGGAGGGCATCTTTCAAGCGTGTTATCCAGCCCAAACCCCCAGAGGAAAACAACAGGAGCACAAATTCAGGTATGCGTGGCAATTGCTCATCCTACCCTTCCTCTGCTCTCACTTGAAGGACCATGATACGCACTTAAGAGTTTTCAGAAGTTGCATTTGTTCCCTTTGGATTGAAGCAGTCTCTGAAGATACTACTTTTGTTTCTGCTTGTTGTCATTGTTGCCATAGGTAGAGCCCTTGTTAATTTCTGTGACGCCTATCATCCATCTGACACCAACAGAAGCTGCAAAATAAATAAAGTTAAAAGCTTGCAGACACAATTGAAGGCCTGTAGAGGTGTAGCATTTTGGAAGAGACTAACAGCATCCTCAGCCTTACTGCAGCACAGCATTAAAGGTAACTACCCCTCCTACCTGTATTTTACCTTTGATGAAGGGTATGCCCCCACGCCCACGGAATTCCATTAAGGAAGGTCCGAGGTTGTGGGTCTCGGGCTCGAGGTGTCCTCTCCCACCAGCAGGGAAGATGCTACCCGAACCAGTGCAGGGGCAAGAGGCACAGGGATGATCGGCTCGGTCCTGTTAAACCTTGGGGCTGGCTGTGAAATGGGGGTGCTTTGGCTCCTAGGAGCTGAGTGACAAAATCTACTGTTGTATCCACGTGCGTGGTGGGGCTGGGCGGGAATTCTGCCGGCTTTCAACAGCCCCTGTGCCTGGAAGAGCACAAGGGAGTGCAAGGGCTATTCAGATCTTGATAGCCTAAAA